TTAATTTTATATTTATTAAAAATAGATGTGATAATTTAATTTTTAGCAAATTACTATAAAATTTATATGTAATAATTAAATTTTTAGCAAATTTATTTGATTTTAGAGGTAGCAAAAACCCCAAAATTTATGCAGATCAGTTATGACCTATATTAAAGATGTCTGGGGTCCTACCCTAAGGTACATGTACCCTATCACGTGAATTTAATTTTATACTGTATATTTAAATTTTGTGTAACAATTATAACAATCATATTTTATATACATATATATATACAATAAATTCAATATATATAACACAAAAATCTAAAACCAAGCTTACACAAGCGATACTACTAATTTCTTTAGTAAGAAACCAAGCTTATACAAGCGATACTACATACTAATTTCTTTAATATAAACCCTAATCTTAATGTAATGAACGTATATAAAAAATTTTGGTGCAGTCTCACAAAATATGCACAGCACTTATGGAAGTTTTGCCTGTACATGTTTTAATATCATGAAAATTTTCTCTACATATAAGCTTTGCATTATAGAAAAATCTATATTAATGCATTAATCATACATACCTGTTCGTATTTTGTCATGTTCTGTATATATTGAATTAAAATATATCGTATGTACAAACGTTCTATACGAACGTACGTATATATATATAAAATACCTTAACAGTTAATTTATTCAGTGTAAATGTATAGTAAAATAACACAGTATATAAATACATATTAGGACAGACGTGTAAAAATTTATAAAACCTTAACATGAACGTACGTACGTACTATCAAAAAGTTAGTACAATTTTTGCATGTCAGTCCGAATCTGTATTGCCATACAGTATATCGTATTGCTAAACATTTGGCTTATATTACTAATATTAATTTTAAGTTGGGATCCTATTCATAGACACCACATTTCACTGACAATTACTTACCAACAAGTTCATTTCATCAACAGTTTATTTCACTGAAGCTCTGGTTAATATCATTAGAGTTAAGTTAGAACTAGAGTTAACATTAGTGTAATTTATAAAAAAAAAACTTGTTAGTGAAATAAGCTTCGGTGAAATAGATTGTTGGTAAAATGAACTTGTCGATGAATAATTGTCTGCGAAATGTGAAGTGATTGTTAGTGAAACAATATGGACCCCTTTAAGTTCTATATGAATAGGTATTATATAATTGAATAAGTTGAATATTCAAACATTCCTACTTTTAGTAACCTATAAATTTTGAAACCACTTAACACGATAATATTTACTTGTGTATATAAGACTAGATATTACTCAAATTCAGAATTATATATTTGAATTTAAAAGTTGCAATATTCTCAATTCACTTTAGATAATTAATAGCTATATAACAATTTTAAGCATATAAACATCATTTGAATATCACCAAAAAATCCTGAAAATAATATTAGGTAAAATTTTTGGGGTTTCTTTGTGTTCAATATGAATATGAAATACCTTGTCGTCTGTGCCATGCTTTGCAATCAGCTTTGTTATACCAGTATTTTGACATTGTTGGGATTGAGTTTGCTTTCTAGTCTTTTATGTATTTGAATGTTCTTTGGCACTAGACTTTTTTTTACTAACTAATTCATGAGACCCCTTAAGCCGTTTTTTCTTTGAAGCATCTCTTTTTGAATGAACTATCAGAGTTTCGATTTCTATAAAATTTTCTTTGTCACTAGAACTACAACTCGAAGTAGTCTTTTCTTCTTCTTCCTGTTGTATTTTACTTTTCTTTGAATGACTTTTTCTTTTTTTTTTTGGTGTGTGCTTGTTGATAAAGCCATTCATGAAATCTTCAAGTTCTTTTATTGCATTAGCACTAGTGTCTAATCTAGTTTGGATGACTTTTTTTGATAGCCCATTGACTGTTATATAGGTTTTGCAATAATTAATGTTGGAATTAACATCACTAAAAGAAATATTCAGCACATAAAATGACAAATCAGGAAAAGATTAGTCAGTTTGAGTTGAATTATTTGTATTATCCAATCCAATAATAAAAGGATGTCGAGATGTTTGAGATTCTGATTCAACTTGTTTTTCATTAATGTATCATCTTTTCGAAATAAGCATGATATGGAATGCGGCATAATTTGAAATAGTTATGACTTGAAAAAAATGTCTGCAAACCAATCCACATTGAATTAAACCTAGACATGTACACAAATGCGAATTGTCTTTGAACAATACAATATAAGTTTTAGCTTTACGTCTGTGTCTAGTAACCTCTCAAATTTTAACAATAGAATTGACTTTTGTTGGTGGTATTAATTAATTAAGTAAAATTGCAGGTGCATCAATAGTATCTTCAATAAAAGTATCAAACACCTCAGTTGAACCAGACTGTTCAATTGAATCAGATAGTTCAGTTGAATCAGATAGTTCAGTTAAATTAGGTCATTCAGTTAAATAGAATTGTTCAGTTGAATCATATAGCTTAGCCGAATTAGATCGTTGAGTCAAATTAGGTAATTCAGTAGAATTAGATTGCAATCCTAAACCTTCAAAATTGTCAACGAGGCGTGATGTATACCAAATAGCTTGAGCAATCTTCTGTCATTGCATAGACAAGGAGGATAGCGTTAAATAAGTAGTAATCCATTGATCGATTTTGGGTGAAAATTCAGAACTAGCGTGAGTAAGTATAGATCCCATGATAGAGTGATTCTAATTTTTATATTGAACATAAGTGGATGCTTGATCAATCTGTTCGTCAATATATTTAACAAGATTTATTAAAGATGTGCTGCTATTTACTAAATTTTTTATTATAGCATTTTGGCCTTCAACTCTCTGTGTGGATTGCATTCCAGCATTAAAGACCTTAGAGATATAACAAATGGCCCAATACTCTTTTTCATTAAAAAGTGCACAATTAAGATATGAAACAGCATCAGGAAACTCCACTAAAAGTTTATTCTATAAATTATAAAACTGTTGACGTGAAGGAGAATTACGCATTTGATACCATTTTTTGGAAAAGTCACTATATCGTTCTCCCATTTTACCTTTCAGATTTTTTATTAAATTCTGACCTATGTGGTATATGCAATGAATGTGATACAATATTGGCAATAGCAGCATTAATGGTGAGGTTGTTGTCAGTAATTATTGTTAAAGGCGCGACATTTGTATTTGAAATTAAGGTTTGCAATACCCATTTATAACTTTCAACAGTCTCATTATTCATAAAAGCCTGACCTACCAAATGAGACCGGTTGTTATTATCCACTATTACAAAGAAGCCTAGTGCCATTTTAAACCAGTTTGTTGAATAAGTGTTATCATGTTGGACAACATCTCTATATTGAATATACAAGTCATATTGGTCTGGTGATATCCAGAATAAGGATGTAAGAGAGCTGTTTGTAGAATCAATCTTCCAATTTATAATCCATCTAGAATCTTCAGCTTTGTGCTCTAAAAGATGATTAAATAAGACAGCCGCTTCACCTTCAACATGGTTTTGTCATTTAAAGGTTTGAATGATATTTGAAAGATCTTGAGGTAAAAAAAGACATCCGGATATTGATTTGTCAGTATTTGATATTGTGTTCTCATATTGATATTTCCAATTTTAGTTCAGAATTTAATTTCTTTTAACATACACTCAGAAAACACCCGATATTTTAATGCGAACTTATTGGTTTTATTTTTCATTAAATGATCATTATAATTTAGACAAAGGGAACTAATACTTAATATGCCTGTTGTTTTTGAACAACTAGCATGAACATGCCAATTACATCCAGTGCGTTTACTTCGTGTCTGTTGTTGGTTTTCAGCGATATTAGTCTTGTTCTTTGTACTATTACGACCTTGATGTTCACAAGCGTATCGACGAATTCGACAAACTCCCTTATTATATTCAGATCTACATATAACGCTAACAAAGTTTTAAGTCTTCGTATAAAAAGAAATAAAGCTATCTAATTCTTCCCAATTACAAAACGTTTGTCCTACTACTAGAGCATCGATTGCTTCTTCCGAACTTTGATCATTTATTAATTGAATTTTAAATTAGTTGTGAGTTGTGGAAACGAATACTGAGTTAAAAGAAAGTTAACGTGCCTTGGTAAAATATTAACAGGCTGCTCTTCAACTAGCCCTGAATTATCATTGCTTTCCTCCTAATTATGAAATTCTTGTCCAACTATTGGAGCGTTGATTGCTTCGTCTAAACTTTAATCACTTATTAATTGAATTTTTAATTAGTTATAGGTTGTGGAAACGAATACAATACTTTATTGAGCTAAAAGTAGAATAAAGAAGTGTTAACGTGCCTTGGTGAAATATTAACAGGCTGCTCTTCAACTAGCCCTGAATTATTATCACTTTCCATTTTGTAAAAGGCAAATCAATGTACAACATCTAAAACCAGTAAGTATTACGATAAAATACTACCTTATTTGAATAGCAAAATAACATTATATACAATACATTTTTTACAAGTAGAGTTGTTGGCGCAAGCCAAATTTTGGTAGTATACACTAAAATTTGACATACACCAACAACCCTAATTACAAGTTTTCAAGACCAACATACGTATGTACCTGCAAAATAAATATTTCTTTACAACACTTATTGTGTTCGTTATATACTGTAATGTGCTTTTTTATTTACAAGCGAGAAAAGAAAGAAAAGCATTTTTTAGCATTGTCTCTTATTTGTATTTATAGTTAATGAAAAATTACGTCATCTGTTTACTTACATGCATTATTTATTATCTACGATTTAATTTCTGCTGCATATGATAGTAATTGATCGCTATTGTTAGACATGTTGTACAACAACATACAATTAACAAATTTGTAACAGGGTATATAATTTTTTACTATACCCTAAGGGTACAAATATATTAATTAATAATAATAATAATAATAAATAAATAAATAAAATAAAATAAATAAATAAATATATATATATAAAACAACCTTCATTTGGGTCTACTAGTTCTATAGACATTTTTATATTTTCATATACTTTCAGTGAGTTAAAGTCAATTTTTTGGTCAGTTAATTTTTCTTCCTCAGAGTCTGAAGGATCTTCGATTAAATTTTCTTCTTTATCAAAAAATAAGTCACCTTTGATAATAGGTTATTGTGATTTCCTCTTTTCTTTAACCGGGCTTTTGCCTTTTTTAAATTGACTTTTACTAATAAAACTATTATATTTTTTTAACGAAAAAACAGCAAAATTATTGTTGGAGCTATTGGTTTGCATGTCTATTTCTGGAAGGTCTTCCGGAAGGTCAAAATCCACTTCTAGAAGGTCAAGGTCCACTTCTGGAAGGTCAAGGTCCACTTTCAGAAGGTCAAGGTTCACTTTCGGAAGGTCAAGGTCCACTTCTGAAAGGTTTATTGTTGCTGCTACTTTGCTTGAAGATTTTCCAATATCAAGATAATTTCTTGCCGGAATTTTTTTTTTTTTACTATATGGGCTTTTCTTGTTCGAGAGTCAACAAGTTTATTTTTACAAATATTGCAATTGCAAGGTCTAAAGTTGCAATTTTTTGAATTATAGTTGTTTGACTTTTCAATAGTTTTTTTGACGATAGAATTTCTTTATTTATAACCCATTATGTAAGATTAAAAAAATAATAAGATACGAAAATATATGAATCAGATAATTTATGATAAAAGAATATAAGCAAAAGAATATATAAGCAAAAGAATATACGAGTGAAAATAAGAAGATAACTTTATTTATATACAATTTGAATTTTCAATAAACCTATTGAAATGCCAATATGAATATAAGACTTTGAGCTATTATCATATAAATAACAAATATACTTTTTGTTTTGACAAATATACTTTTTGTTTTGATAATTATACTTTTGTTTTTTGTTAATGCTATTAATGCTTAATGATCGGTTTTTAAATTTTATAAAAAAATTAAACTTACTGATATTTTTAATATGAATGAATATACAGTGATTAGAACAAATAAACTATAAAGGTATAAATATTCCAGTAGGCTTTTCATTTATTTTTATATAAACAAATTAAACTTTAATAGTATAAATTTAATTTCTAATAACAAATTAGCCATATACTAATGGCAAAAAGTATCAAATTGGCCTTCCAGAAGTAGACCTTGACCTTCCAAAAATGGATATGCAAACCAATAGCTCTGACAATGATTCTGCTGTTTCTTCGTTTGAAGAATATTATAGTTTTATTAATAAAAGTCAATCTAAAAAAGGCAAAAGGCTAATTGGAGGAAAGAAGAAATCACAATACCCTATTATCGAAGATGATTTATTTTCTGATGAAGGGGAAAAAAATTTAATCGAATTTAAAAAAGGCAAAAAGCTAGTTAACTATAAAGGTATCAATATTTCTAGTAGGTCTTTCATTTATTTTTATATAAACA